GTGCCCCCAGTGCCCACAGTTGCCGCAGATGAAGAGGATGACGAAGTAGACACAGACGAGCATCCCGGGGAACACGGGCCCGCCGTAGGCCATGATCCCGTCGTACATCACGGCATTCCAGTCCTCCCCCGTCAGGATCTGCCAGGAGGGCACCCCAAACTCTCAGCACGGTCCCCAGTGCTCCCAGTGCTCCCAGTGCTCCCAGTGCCCCCCCCAGTGCTCCCCCAGTGCTCCCCCAGTGCTCCCAGTACAGCGCTGCCCCCCAGCCCGCACTGAGCAGCTACAGGATGGGGAGGGGATGGTTTGGGGGGGGTTCGTGGGGTTTGGGGTCTCCCCATCAGATTTCAAGGTCCCCCACGGGCTTTGGGGTCCCCCATGGGTTTTGGGGTCCCCATGGGTTTAAGGGTCCCCATGGGATCTCAGGGTCTCCCAGAGGTGTTGGGATCTCTCACAGCTTTCAAGGTCTCCCATGGGTTTTGAGGTCCCCCATAGATTTTGGGATCCCTCCAGGTTTCAGGGTGTCTCCCCCTGGGTTTGGGGTCCCCCTGGGTTTTGGGGTCCCCCCCGGTTTCAGGGTGTCTCCCCCCGGTTTGGGGGTGCCCCGGGTGTGGGGTGCCCCTCTGGGCACCTGGAAGACGGTGAGCAGGGCCTGCGGGAAGGTGTCGAAGGTGCTGCGCTTGGTCTGGGTCTCGTCGAAGCTGAACTTGCCCCCGAAGAGCTGCATCCCCAGCAGGGCGAAGATGATGATGAAGAGGAAGAGCAGCAGCAGGAGGGAGGCGATGGATTTCATGGAGTTCAGCAGGGACCCCACCAGGTTACTGAGGGATGCCCAGTGCCTGCGGGACACGGGGGTTACTGGGAGCACTGGGATGGAGAGGTGCCAACGCTTGACAGGGGTTGACCCACAGATTGCTCAGCAATGCCCAGTAGGATGCTGGGGTTACTGGGAGCACTGGGAGGGGACAGTATGGATGGTCCAGAGCCAACACGCCGTGGCAGGGGGTGTTGTGGCATTGGGGCATCGCAGCATTGCACCATCACCA